CCTCTCCAGCCAAATACGTTAATCAGGAGCCGCAGTAAAGGGCCTATAATTAGGACTCCGATGCTACCCCCAACCGATACGATCCCTACTGCGAATAACTATACGTACGTACATACATACATACATACACACACACACACACACACACACACACACACACACACATATACACACACACACACACACACACACACATACATACATACATACATACATACATACATACATACATACGTACATACATACATACATACGTAACTTGACCACTCCCCATAGGGGCTTTTCAGGGCCAATTCCCACCCATACCACCCCAGGGGAGGACATCCACCACGTGCGTGCGTGGGAAATTAACATCTCCTTCCTCTAACCCTGCAGTAGACGGGGCCTACGGTTTATTCGTCCTTATCCGAGAAGACTAGAATATCTATCCATTTTTTGATTATAGAAAGGTAGCAAATTCTCCGCACTTATTTTAAGACCATGAGTATCGGTCCGGCCGATTAAATTTCCACCTTTAAGCAAAAATTCATCGTGAAGGGAAACAAAATGTGTTGTTTCCTTCTACTTACCACAGCCGACCTCATCTGAACCATCACCACACTGATTGTTTCCATCACACACAAACGCGCGATCGATACAAAGGCCATTGGTACATTGATATTGGTTACTTGGACAAGTAATGGGTACTATGGTGGTACCTTTGAGTAAAGTGATGAGAACAATTTCAGTTAGTTAAATTCGTATGTTAGGGTACGTTTCACCGACTAATTTTTTTTTTTCGTTTGAACAAAACATTGAACAAACAAGGCAATTTGAGGAGAACTTTAAATGACAAAAGAAAATTATTGAAGAACTTAATGCGATGACGAAAACCGTAAAGTAATATGTTGGCCATCTCAAAAGGAAACTTTAATTTAATAATCACTTTAATTCTTAATTGATAATATTTTTCTACCGCTATCTTGTACAGCACCGCTGGATCTTTGAGAAGCGTTGCGCTATATAAGCTATGTATTGTATTGTAAACGTCATTGGTTGTGATAGGATGCTTATAGTTGAGTGAAAAAAGTGAAGGGATACAATAAAGTTATCTTAGAAGAGAAGAGAAACGAGAGGGAAAAAAGAATAAGATTGAGAAGTACATAGGAAAAGGACAAAGAGCCTACAAAAGCAGAAGAATCAGCATTGGGGTCAGAAATATATCCAAAGTGTGATAAAATATACGACGTGTTCAGAACAAGAAAAACAATTAAAATATGATGAAAAAAATTTAAATCATACTTGGGCAATTCTCTGGCTTTTCATCCCAACTCTGTGGACAATTAGGCGTTCCATCACACAACCATGTGTGATGGATGCAGATTACAAACTGGGTTTGCCCGCAATGAAGCCAACCATCTGGACAAGTTGCCGGGATAGTGGTGGGCGCTACTGTTGTCACTTGAGCAGCTGGAATGTGGGTAAAGAATAACTAGCAGATTTCTTTACCTATAAACTTTGGGACTAATGAGTAATTTCAATTCATGATGAATGAAATGAAAATGCTCCGTATGAATTATTAGGTTCTTCAACAAAGCAAAGATCTACAAGAACACAGTGAAATAGTACTATTAAACGGGTTATCTTAACCCTTTAAAACTTTCCTCTTGAGTTTCAAGCTGATCAGGTAACTAACATACATAAGCCCCCAGTGGTAGTTATTTCAAGGATTAGAGTGAAAAGAATGTCCAAACAGGTTCTACAATACTTTTTGACTAAGATAAAAAGTTGGGTGATCTAGAAATTGATTATGAGAATAGCTATTTCGTAATGCATGCCGTTGATTCTCTATACTATAATGTGGGCTTACTACAGTCAGAGATGAAGTTCAACTTACAACATCCTCTTTCATCACTGTTATCCCCGCAATCGTCTCGACCATTGCACTTATATCCATTGTTGATGCAAACGCCACTATCACAAGTGAATTCCCAGAAATGGCACGGCCTAGATGGTGATGTTGTTGTATTCGCAAAGGGCCTAGTTGTACCTAACAATAAGGATATATGAGATGTTGTTAAAAAGCTTACCAACATTTGGCATTCCGTAGAGTTTATACATAACCCTAACCTAATAAACAACACAACCATAAGGGGATGTTAAAGTGCTACTGAAACGAAATTTTCGTATCTGAGATTTTCGCTCTAACCTGTAGTTTTGAATATGCTGATCACCATGAGATAGTTTGCTTTGGCCAAAAAGAAGCGAAAGATATCTTTTTTAACCGTTCAAATCAAAAATTTTACACAAAACCATGTCCGGGCTCTGGTACCGAGCGAAATGGATTGATGACGTCACTGGTTGTGTTCACTTCGATAGCGTGGTTTATTTCACTCACTGTTTGTTTGTATTCGTGGGCGAAGGAGATGGCAGATATTGAAGTTTTGTCAAGTGAATCTTCTTCTGAACGAAGCGAAGTTGTCTCCAGTAGCGAAGAGGAAGATGGTGGCGTAAAATGGGGTTGACAGGCCTA